ATGAATATTTTTGTTTGGACTTTTTAGGAAAAGTGAATTTGTTCTAAACTAATTAATTAAAATAATAAAAGTAAACCTAATTTAAAAATAAAAGATTTTAAATAAAAAAAACCTAAGTCTATTAATTGATTAAAAGGAAATTAAGTTTAAGAAAAGTATTTTTTGTATTTTTGTCTTGAAAATAATTTATAGTATTATAAAATATTTTTGGCCTTTTTTATATTAAAATAATATATTTTAATTGGTGTAAAAGAAAATAAATAAAACATAGTATTTTAATTAAATTTACAAGATATTTAGTGAAATGAATAAAGTATTTATTAAATAAAAATAATTCTTATGAGAAAAAATAAATAAACTATGTCAAAATGAAAATCTAATATTTTGTATTTTTTATGATTTTTTTAGTATTAGAAAAATAAGAAAGAAAACAAATAAAAAGAAAATAAGAAAATAAAATAAAATTGGGCCAGGGGCATGTAAATGAAACAAGGGGGTTAGCAAGCAAAAACAAAAACAACAAAGGCCCAAGGAGGCCCAACGCTTGCAAAAAAAGAAGTCAGAGTTGTAAAAAATATATAAAAAAAACCCAAAAGGGTACCACTGGGGCTCGAACCCAGGTCCCAAAGGCTACAGGCGCGCGCTTCTACCACTGGGGTGACTATACATCCGATAAAATAAGCAAAACAATAAATATATGATACAAAACACGCCCTGATTTACACTTCATCTTCAATCTCCAGCCAGACCAAATGTAACTTGTTCATTTCTCAACAAAAATGAAAACTGTAAACATGAAACTTGTAGCAAATTTCCACACGGTTTAAGAAATGTAAAGCATTAAAACTATAGTTTAAAGATAAGCATGAATTTCATTGGCCCTAATCTGAACCCTAAAAATCTCAGAAAATTCAAACTTAAAATTCTCTAACCTCAGGAAAAATTAATGGAAACTATGGACATAGTTAGCTTTAGGGAAATGATATCTAAATGTTTTGTTCACAAATAAATCACTGATGATGCCCGTATGAAGAGTTCCAAAGTTAGAAAACTTACCTTGCAAGAGGGTATCGGGTTTGAAGTTTGAGCAACTTTCAAGGAGTTCCAGTGGTTGAGTTAGTTTCCTCAAGTTCCCAGGAAGTTAATGGAATGCTTAGCTTGAGCTGAAAGTGCCTGAGGAGTGCTGGAGAAGTCCAAGTGCAAAGCTATGTTTTTAAAAATGGAGGATGATATTAATGGTGTTACAGTTCAGTAACAGGGTGTGGGATCAGTTCTAAATGATATTTAGAAGCTTTAGGAACCAAAAGGCTTGAAAACGCACGAGGGAGTTATGAGTTTCAAGTCTTTGGTCAGTTTATGTGAAAATGGAGGTATGAGATGTGATTCTGAGCTCTAGGTCTTTTCAGGGCTTAAGAATTCGTGTCTTTTGTGAAAAATGGTTTGTATATCTATAAGCAAAAGGTCTTGAGTGTATTGGCAAGTCATAAGTACAAGTCACAAGCTTTTGGCTAGGTTACTTGATTTTAAAGAAAAGTGGGAAATAAGTTTCAAGAGGAGGTACAAACATGGGCTGGGTGATTGTAAGTGTCCAAACCAGTTTTAATGTGTTATGAGACATGTATGATCAGAAGAGAACATGTGCAAGGGTCAAGAACAAGTTTTGTGTAAAAAATCACTTTATCAAAATGGCAATGTACACTTTCTTCCAAAAATGGATATAAATCATGTCCATGTATTGAATGCTTGAAATGAGACCTCTAACATCTGTGCAAGCAATTAATTATGGAGTGCCTAACAAGTTTGAGGCCTGAAAAGTAGAGTTTATGCAGCACAACTTTGAATTTGAATTTTGTTCATCACAAAATGCCTTGTAATTCAAGTGATAAAACTCTAACTTCATCTCTTCGATTCTCCAAACTCAAGAATGATCTCAAGGAGTTCTTGGACATTTTGGAAAGCTTGTAATGTTCTATACAATCCATATTTGAATTGCTTTAGAATATTCCCATTGGAACCATATGAAAAGTGCCATGAAGTTGGGTCAAAATCCTGACCAAACTAGGGCAAAATTTCACTAAGTGTTTTGTTTCATGACCACATGTTCTTAAAATTATAACTTGAGATCAAATCATTTTTGGAAGGAGTTGTGTTAAGCAAAGTTGTAGATTTCATGGAGATCTACAACTTTCATGTTGTAAGTTTCTCTTAACTTATCTTGCATCATGGTGAAAAATTTGCTCAAAGTTATGAAAAAATAAGAAATTTCCAACACTTAGAAAAATTCCTAAGTTTAGAAATTTGACTTTACAAAATGAAATCTTGACTTTTTGATTTCTTGATGAATAAGTTTCATATTTTGACATGTTTTGATGAATTGTGATCTTTGACATTTGAATTTGACCAAAAAGTCAAAGTTTGACTTTGTAGTATATAGTTGACTTTTGATCAGTTGACTGGAAAATTTAGGGGTGTGCAAAAAAACCAATAACCATAAACCAAATTTGTATCCATATTAATCCATATCTCAAAATCCAATACAAAGTTATATTTTAAAACTGGTGGTCCATTTATCAAAACCAAAAAAAAACTGGAAACCATTAATCAATTTGGATCAGTCTATTGGGTACCACATTTGAAACACTCTCAAAACTCTCTTTTACTGACTGCAACAATCTTCAACTCTAACGGCCGCTGCTTATTCCTCTGCCGCTACCGCTTATTCCTCTGTCGTCACCGCCATAAACGTTTTGTTTGCAGTCACAAACGTCAACTCTAAATCGTCAACTCTACATTCAATTCCCTTGGGTAATTCCTTTTCTTCTTCTCAACAATGGTTTCATGGGTAGCGCTCACTATGATCCTTTTTTGATTACCCACTTCTTAAAATCAGTTTTGTTTGTGTTATTGAATCTTGTAAGGGTTAATAGGTTCAATTTGTTTCACACTTTCTTGTATGCACGCAACCTGTTTGATAAAATATCTATTTGAGTTTGTTTATATTGTCATATTAATATAGCTGGATTCAATGTCTATAGGAACTAAGCAGTCAACTGGAAACTTGAAGCTGGAGGCACGTTCTCTACAACGCTCTCAGAGGTACTCATGTAGAGATAATTACATGATTATAGAATGCTGGTATGTTTAAGTTGCAAATGATATGGACCTCCAGTTTTTTAATTTTCCACAAACTTAGAAAGTACATTCAATAATTCAATTGTGTTGTCTTCTTTAAGAAAAATGGAAACAAAAAAGACTGCTTTCTTTCAATTCTGTTTGTCCCTCTATCATATATATGGTATTCATAAAAAATATTCAATTTCCTTTACAAATCATAAAACCTTATTAATCTAATCCTCACATTATCAATATTCTAAAATATTCTATAATTATCATATTTTTTTTTCTGGTAAAAATGACAACAATTTAGTAAAACTACTCTCAGCTCAGCTTAGATTTTGCAATAACCAATAGCACAGTCATGTAGAAGGAAAGAAACAATAAGAAAATTAGACATAAACCTACTAAAAGATCCAACACAAAAATTTATACATTATTTTCAGCAAAATGTGCACAAGTTACTGATGCCATATCAATTCCAGTGGTCTTGTGATTCTCTGTTTTTTTTTATCAAACTCAAAACAGGTAGCTACATGCACTAGTTGAGAAAAACTCTGTCGAAAATGATGTGAAAGCAGCACTGCTAATTCTAAAATATTCTATAATTTTGTGAATGTAAACCTTGCATTAATTAGGTGACTTGAGAGGGCATAAACATGAAAAGAATTTACCATGAAGAGACAATGATAGCTAGAAAATATCATTTATTTTCATTATTTATGGTTCCTATTGTGTAGTTGAGAAGAAATGAAACCAATTGATATGAGAAAGAGAAATTGTTTATAAGAAAAGATGAATCCAAACCAACATAAAATTTTAATTTAAGTGATTATTTAATTTATGTAAGAAAAGATGAATAAAAAATGAAAGAGAAGAAAAAGGAAGAAACATGATAATAAATAAAGTGGATATTGGTTTTTGTGTTTGTTGTATGAAAGGAAGAGAATTAAAGAAAAACAAAACACAAAACAATATAAGTTTTAACTGGTCCCTTATACTATTTCATAAATCTTTGTTACTACTTTCTTATCTTGTTACTATTTTTTATCTGCATCATCTCAAATTCAGTTGGTCTTTCTGTTTCCATCATCTCAAATTTGCCAAGTCCTTGTTAAAAAATTACAAAATGCTGGTGTCTGATCTACATAGCAATAATATATGAGGGAGACTATATAACCCTGAAACTTTGATCCTTTTGCAAAATTGAAATGAATTTAAATTCTTCTTCGTTCATGGCATCAATGCAAAATGGTCAAAGTTCAAGATGGTTGTATGGATTTCTCCCTTATTTGATTTGTAGATTGATGCTTCTTACTATTTTGATTTTGTTTGTGTTTATTTATATACCTCTTCACCTAATAGTTTGGTTGAAGTGTTGAACTTTCATGTCATCATGAAATACGCCCCTTAAGATGTTGCCATTTGCTTATGTTTTTAACTAAGATAAGGCTCCTAATACCTCTTAATTATGGTACAGTTTTTGAAATTCCGCCCCTTAAGATGTTGCCATTTTTTAACCAGTGTGTCTTGCTAAGAGATGCTTATCTGCATCACTTGGGTACTTGAGAAAGAGACCATAAAATGACATCACACACTCTTTCCTTTAACTGTATAAACACCATATTCACATTTCTCTAATGTTACTACCAATATCAATTATATCATATCAATGATATCATAGCCTTTCTTTCTGTCTGTCTCCTTGGCGTGACAATCTATGAATTTTTCAATTTTATTTACCATCAATTTATTGCTGTTAAAACAGGTGGAGATTGATTTCTTCATGCAGTGTCTGCAATGTTAGTTAATGACTTATATTATGGCTTTTTGAATCTTTCTTTAGGTGGGGCTTTTTGCTCTGTGGTTCCTTTTTTTGAATCAAGATGACTAATGTTAGTTACTTGCCAATGTATGCAACGTCCGAGAATACGGTTTCAACCCCTCCACCTACCGTCTCTAATGAAATGCCACCTCCTCACACTAAGAAGCGAAAGAACCGTTCAGAGGCTTGGAATCATTTCATTATATCGTCAGAAGAAGAACAAAAAGCTTCGTGCAAGTACTGTGACACAAAAATTAAGTATAATAATGGAACTAGTTCTATGCATGCTCATTTATCAAGATGCCTTGTTTACAAGAGACAAAGGACATCATCTTCTATGACAAGTGCTGAAGAACATGTTGGCTCTCCTTTAATTGTCAAGTTTGACCAAGAAGCTATTCGAAGAGCAATGGTTAAGATGTTCATTAACATGGAGATTCCTTTTCGGAAGGTTGAACATGAGTCTTTTCATGAATTTATGAGTCTCGCTTCACCAAGATTTCAGATTTGTTCGCGCACAACATTGGCACGCGATGTCTTGAAACTATGGAACACGGAAAAAATGATTTTGAAAAACTTTCTCTCTCTGAATTGTCAAAGAGTTTGTCTCACCACTGATATGTGGACTTCTTGTCAAAAGTTGAGCTATATGTGTGTGACGGCCCATTTCATTGACAATAATTGGAACTTACAGAAGAAGATCTTAACTTTTTGTCAAGTCACAAGTCATACAGGGGATGCTATTTGTGAAACAATAGAGATATGTTTGAACAATTGGGGTTTAAACCGTGTGCTTAGTTTGACGGTTGATAATGCTTCATCTAATGATGTTGGGGTTGAACGTCTCAAGAGAAGGCTCTTGTCTAAGAATAGTTTAGTTATGAGTGGAAACCATTTTCATATGAGGTGTTGCGCACACATATTGAATTTAATTGTGAAAGAAGGTTTGAAAGACATTGATGATTCTGTTTATAGAGTTCGTCATGCTGTTTGGTATGCTAGATCTTCTCCCGCGAGGCTCGCTAAATTCAAGGCATGTATTGATGAGGAGAGCATGGACTATAAAGGTTTAGTTTCTCTAGATGTTGAGACTCGTTGGAATTCAACTTACTTGATGTTAGTATCTGCATCAAAACATGAAAGAACCTTTGAAGAATTCGGTTTTCGAAATAAAAGGTATGTGAATTAATTTTGCAGTCATATACAACTAGTTAGTTATTCTATTATGATAGTTATAAAGGTGATAAAAACTTTATATATTAATAGAAACTAACACAATAACACTTTATTGTTGTTGCCGCGACTATTCTAAAATTATGCAAGTACATTGTCATAAGTTATGTGAATTAATTGATGTTGAACATTTTATGTTGTGCTAGGTATGTGAATGAGTTGACAAAAAAGGGAAAAGGTGTCCCGATGAAAGACGATTGGAAGCATATCAACTTAATCATTCCATTCTTGAAGTTGTTTTATGATGCCACTGTACATATATCAGGGTCTTCTTATTTGACAAGCAATATTTATATGTTTGAGGTCTTGGGTATTGGAAAGAGCATTGTGGATATGTGTGCGTGTGACGATGAACATCTACGTTCAGCATCTCAAAAGATGAAAAAGAAGTATGATAAGTATTGGGGATCTCATGAGAAGCTTAACATGATGTTGTTGATTGCTCTAGTTTTTGACCCTAGACGCAAGGTTAGATTGGTTGATTGGATGGTACGACGATATTATAATAAGGTTGATGCTGATGCCTTGAAAGAAACCTTAGAGTCTTGCTTGAAATCTATTTATGAGGAATATTGTACTGGGTTCATGCCTCCTCAAGATAATCCACATGAGTCGCAAGTTTTTGGTAATGTTAGTCATCCATACGGAACTGCTGAGTTTTATCTTTCAGAAGGGTGTGACAATGCAGATAATGAGTTAACCACTTATCTTGGAGAGAAGTTAGAGCATAACATGGAGATAAATGTTCTCGAGTGGTGGAAAGTAAATTCTGGTCGTTATCCCATCCTTGCAAACATTGCAAGAGACGTGCTTGCTATACCAATAAGCACAGTGGCGTCTGAATCTGCATTTAGCACAGGAGAAAGGGTGCTTGATCCATATCGCAGCTCATTAACACCAACAACTGTCGAAGCACTGATATGCACCCAGGATTGGCTCAAAGGAACATCTTCATCATTGATTACAAATAAAGATTTTGATATTCTTGAGAGATTGGAGCAAGGTATGATAACTAAGTATATTTGCTAATGTATTATTATTTATTATACTTGAGGCATAATGAAATGTATTTATATATTTTGTAGAATTACTTTATACAAAAGATGGTGCTAGTTGTTCAACCTCTTCAACCTCTGTTGCGCTCGAAGAGGACTTAACGGTAAAGAATTCTAAAGTTTTATATATGCATTTTTTCCCATTCTTGAGCTACAATTTCACTTGTGTCAAAGAATTCACCAACTATTTCACTTGTGTCAAATAATAAATTGTGGCTCTGTTGCAGACTTGATGGAAGTGTTCAGACAATTGGGTTTTTGTCATCAGAGGGGAGAATTCTGGTGGAAGTATAGGAATGAAATGTCTTCCAGAAAATTGTGTTGTTAAAGACAATCTTGAGAATCTGGCTCTTGATACCCCTATAAATTTATAATGTAACTTTAAGATTTTAAATCTTGTTAGCTTTGTGAATTAGTGAAGGATGTTGCACATTCCCTATATAATCAACAAGTATTGTGTCAAAGAATTCACCAACTATTTCACTTGTGTCAAATAATGAATTGTGGCTCTGCTACCATAATTTTTGAGAAATTACTTTACTATATTTTAAGGTAAAATCACATATCATATGTTTTAAAATTGTCAATGACCATAAATTTTGAGAAATGACCAATTTTTTTTTTAAATTAGTGTTTTTAACATAAAATAATTTTTTAATACTGGTTTTTTTAAAACTGGTTTTGAAATCGATTTCTTAAGAAAAATATTGTTTAATTTAGGTTAGTAATTAAGTTGATAGAAAATATGTTCAATTAAATTCACTTAGTTAGTAGATGTTCAAAGATATCAAATATTAGAACATATATTTGAAAGATAGATACATGAAAGAGATAAATTGCAAAAAATTATTAATAAAATTTACTTATTAAATTAATAATAAAAGCTATTTATCATTTATGTTTACCCATGGCCTATAAAAATATTAAATTAAGAATAGATAAAATAGAAAAGTGGACCTTGGTGTATCTGGATTGTGTCATTACTTATATAAATGTCTTGTTGTTATTTATTTGAGGTCATTTTCTATTATTAATGCCCTTGTTGTTATTTAAGATTTGAGTGCAAACTATTGAATTCATATTTAAAGTATTTATAATTCTTTATATATATCTTTATTAAACTCTATTATTTAACTAAAATTTAAGAAAAAACAATATATAAATTTAATTACCTAGTTTTATTAATATGTGTGAATTATCAAATGCTTCTAATACATCATATGATCAAGTATTATATAAATAAAGATACGATCAATTATTATATAAACAAACATACGATCAATTAATATTAGAATTTCTGAAAATAAAATAAAATGAAAGGATATGATCGTACATTCTAGTGATATTTTTAAAACTGGTTTTTTTATAAAATTGATTTTGAAACTGGTTTTTTATAAAATTGGTTTTGAAATCGATTTTTTAAAGAAAAATAAAAATTGGTTTTTAGAAAAATCAGTTTAAAATTGGTTTCTTTTTAAAAACTGGTTTTTGTGAGAAACCGGTTCAAAACCGAACCGATCCACATGTAAACCGATTTTAGAAATATAAACCGGTTTTAATGAAGTAGTTTTAAGATCCAAACCAAATCATATATATGGTTCAATTTGGTTTGGTTATTGATCCATGCACACCCCTAGGAAAATTCATCTGTCAACCCAATGGATTTGCAATGTTTTGAGCCATGGAATTAGGTCAAAATTATGCAATTGGACTCTTGATATCATGCCTTAAACCAATTGATCATTTGCTAGGTCAAAAATAAAAAATTCCCCTTTTTTCAATCAAAACCCTAATTTTGACCATTTTCCCCTTTTGGAGATTTGATCAAATTTCTTGAGGAATTAAGGTCCAAACTTGATCAAATGATACATATGATTCTAAAATGTTTATGTGGATTAAAAATTATGAATTTTGATTGTAAATTGGCCATGGTTGACTTTTCCCCAATACAGTTGATTTTTAGGTCAACTGCTCAATTAACTGAGCAAAGGTGTGATCCAAAGCTTGAAACTTGACATGAGTAATCTTGGGGGTCCATAATGATACATGAAAGTCATATGAAGAATTGAAAGTTCAAATATCCTTATGCAATCTCAAACCCTAATTTTGGTCACCAATGCTTAAGGAGGTGTCTTGAGCTGATCAACCCTAGTATAGTCTCGAGCCAAGGGAGATTTTGTGAGAAAATTCTTGATAAATGAGAGGGCAAATTTTGGGGTACAACAGCTGCCCCTGTTCAATCTTCTTAAACCTGAAGAGTTAGATTGGCGAGTTTTTCCATTCGCGACTCGAAGGTGGAAGATGATTGGACACTAAAATGGCCCAGAAATTTGCACTCGGTGATGTGATGGTTGAGGGAATGGGCTTAAAGATGCCATTTGGATAGATGATAGAAAGTTGTTGGAGATGGGTTTGTAGATGCCATCAAGAAATGATTCTTGAACCGTATCTGTAAGCTGTAATCAAATGAGTGTTAGAATGGCGTTCGTGTCTGGAGCGTATCTGAACTGTATCTTGAAAATTGAAATCTGAATGAGTATCAGAATGGCATCCGTGTCTGGAGTGTATTTGAACTGTATCTGAAAGTTGAATCTGAATGAGTATCATAATGGCATCCGTGTCTAGAGCGTATCTGAATTGTATCTAAAAGCCGAATCTGAATGAGAATCAGGATAACATCCGTGTCTGGAGCGTATCTGAACTGTATCTTAAAGAAACATTAATCATTATTAATGGTAGTTGTTAACCTTATCCTGAAAAGGGTGAAATGTTAGATAATATGTGATGTCATGTTGTATGAAATGCATGGTATAATGAGATTGTGATACATGCGTTCGTGTTTTCAATGTTTATGATATATGGATGCAATGTATGCATATGTGAGCTAATCTGTTGCATTGCTGTTGGATAGGGGGAAATAAATCCCTGACTACTACTGAGTATATGGAGTGTAAGTCTCCATGTTGTGAAGTTGAAGTATAGATGGATTTCCTTTTATATAAATAAACTCTGGTTGTAAGGGAAATGTCGTGTACTGCTTGTAAAATCCTGTTGGGGAATCCTGAGAAACTGGACGACTTCTTCTGGGGATTGATAACTGGAAGCTTTGTTCCGCTGGGGATTAAACTACACACCGCGGGGGATTTCATTGAAATGGCTTAGAGAGATTTCCCTATCTCTTAAAACCATCAGTGATTGTCTTTTTATTTTGTTCATTTGTAAACAGTAATTATGTTCAAATGCATATGTTCAAAAATAAATCATTAGACGATTTTGTAAACAAAACACAAGAGTAAAGAAAAACAGGTAGTTTTGCACTTTCAAAGGGATATCTTTGTATTGACTTTGAGTAAGTATTTTTGTACAACAAGACAAAACATTCTAGTAAGAGAATCCTGTCATAAAAAAATGAAAATTTGATACAAAGAAAAGATAGCTATGTGAAATAATCCCATGGGGTTCCCATTCTGCTATAGCCTCTGTATCTTTGAGCATCTTGTCTATTTGTTGCCTTGTCCGAAGCTGATTGGATTGATCAAAACCTCTGAGTTTGTCAGGTTGTCCGTAAGGTGATCCAACGGGACATAGTCATACGCTTTAATTCCCTAACTTTTTCCTGGACCGCCCTTTCGGGTTTTTATTCCACCGGGATACCCTTTTTTGCCCAAGCCGCCCTTTCGAGTTTTAAAATTACCGGGTGTACAATTTTTTTTGTTTTATCCCTAGTTTTTGCCCGAACCTTTTGGTTCGCCAGGATGCCCTTGTTTTTCCTAGGTGTGTCAACCTAGCGGGTCTCTTTATGTGTAGTATCTTTTGACTATGTGTGCGTTCACAGGGTGTGGCAGGTTGTCACCATCCATGGTGGTCAAGATCATTGCTCCACCAGAGAATATTCTTTTGATCACAAATGGTCCTTCATATGTAGGAGTCCATTTTCCCCTGGGATCACCTTGCGGTAGTATGATGCGCTTGATCACCAGATCCCCAACTTGATACACTTGGCGTCTGACCTTTTTGTTGAAACCCTTGATCATTCGTTTTTGATACATTTGACCATGACAGACAGCAGTAAGCCTTTTCTCATCAATCAAATTCAGTTGATCAAGTCGAGTCTGGATCCAATCGTCTTCATTCAGCCCTGCATCCTTCATAATTCTTAGAGAGGGGATCTAGACCTCAATAGGCAAGACAACCTCCATGCCATATACCAGAGAGTAGGGTGTTGCCCCAGTTGATGTGCGTGATATGGTGCGATACTCGTGGAGAGCGAACGATAACATCTCATGCCAGTCTTTGTATATGACTGTCATTTTCTATATGATCTTTTTAATATTCTTATTTGCGGCTTCGACAACACCATTCATCTTTGGCCGGTAAGGGGAAGAATTGGGATGCTAAATCTTGAATTGCTCGCACAGGGAGGTGATCATAATATTGTTTAGATTCGTACCATTATCTGTGATAATCCTCTCTGGGATACCATACTTGGAGATTCTGTTTAATGAACCGGGCTACAACATTCTTGGTCACGAAAGCGAAAGAGGCTACCTCAACCCACTTTGTAAAATAGTCAATGGCCACTAAGATGAAGCGGTGTCCATTGGAGGTTGTTGGTTTGATTTCGCCAATCATATCGATGCCCACATAGCTAAGGGCCAAGGAGCCGTTAAGACATTCAGAGGAACCGGAGGTACGTGCACCTTGTCAGCATAAATCTAACACTTATGGAAGGTTCGAGAGTGTTAATAGCAATCTGCTTCCATGGTAGACCAGTAATATCCTGCCCGTAGGATCTTCTTTTCCATCGTATGCCCACCGGAATGGGTGCCAAAAGTGCCTCCATGTAACTCAGCCATGATCTTTTCCGCTTCAACCTTGTCCATGCACTGAAGTAAAACAGAGTCATGGTTGTGTTTGTAGAGAATGACATTACTAAGGAAGAATTCAGCAGAGAATATCCTTAAGAAATTTTTATCATTGACTGAAGCTCCTTCTAGATATTCTTGAGCCTCGAGATACCTCTTGACTTCGTGAAACCAAGGATGGTCCACTACTTCTTTAGTATTAATCTCGTGACAGTTAGCTGGTTCATCCATGCCTTCAATGGTGATCTGGGGAGCCTCGTTATCCCATTTAAGTTTAAACATGGATGACATTGTGGCTAGTGCGTCTGCTAATTGATTTTCTTCTCGCGGGAAATGCTCGAAGGTAATCTTCTCAAAATGTGGGAGCA